CTGATCGTCAGCTAGTTCAGTTCTTCAGGGTCCCGTTCCTGGAATTCTCTGGGCTGCGTTTGCTGCGTGCTGTTGGTAGCCATCCGGCTGGATTCCACTTCTTCTTCTGGGTACAGATTGAACTCTGAAACCAGGTCAGTGATTCACACTCTCATAATTGCCCTCCATCAGATTAATGATGGAGGGCAAAAATCAGAGATGAATGGGACTCACGAGCTGAGCTGCAGTTTCGTTAATAAACGTTTTTTTTTAATCACAATTTTCTGTCTGCTTCGAATGAAAAGATATTCAACCAGTTCATCATAAATAATGTAATCATAGTACTAAAAGCATTTATTTCTATCCTTACATCACTAAAGAATGCTGATACAAATATTTAAAACATTTTATGACTTTTCTTAGACAATTTGGTGCTTTTTACATTTTCTCCATTAAACAGCCTGTCTGACATCATCTTCAGACATGCTCTGAGCAGTCCGGCAAAATATGATTAAACCATGTTTATCTTTTTTTTTTGTTATTTCTTTCTTTAGATTACACACTATATACCATAATGTGAACACGAAAGGAAAACATAAAACTCAAAAATATTAAATCCAAGGCCGAAAAAGTTAGCTGCTGGAAGTAGCAGAAGTCCCATTTCCGGCACAGACAAATTATAAAACAGAAAGGATTTTAAATGTATTAATTTTCTCAGGAAATACATTAATATCATGTAATATATATAGTTTAGTATGCTTACTGTTTTTAAGGAGGGAAAAAATGTTATTTATTTATGTTTATTCAAATCAAGGGCGACCCAGATGTATATCTGGTTGCACATGTGCAAATAAGCTGATGGAACAGATCAAGCTTCCGGTATGGATCGGGTAGTGACTACTTGCTGCCTATGATTCTTAAGGAGCTGAACGTAGTGACTGACCAAGTTGAACACACTGTGAAGATGATGAGAAATTACTAAGTTCTGGTACACCAATGGAACAGCCGGGCCCAATTGCTGTTCTGCTGAGGAGCCGCTAGAAGCCTCTGACCCGTCCAAGACTAGTTCTGCCGCTGTCTTAAACTCTAAAACCGGCGGGCCGTGATCCATTTGTTTGGCTGCTGTTTGGAGCTGTTCTGTTCTGGTACAAGCTATCCACTGCCTTAAGGGGACACCTGTGCTAAGGATACTATGAGTGACAAAATTAAGCCCTGCTAAGTTTCCCTATGTTGTCTGCATCAGAATAACTCAAATCTCTTCGAGAGCTGACTGTTGGATGAACGGACTGTATCCCTGGGACTGAACAGCACCAACCAAACCGAGTTGGACTCCTGAACGACACCAAATCCCTGCCCTTCTCCATGCACCGAGCCAACAACTCAACATCTTTCCCCCTCATTCATCTGATGCTTATTAAATACTCTGCTTGGCTGGCAGATATGTAGAGTAGATATTTTTACATGTGTTTTTTGTTTTTTATCTAAAAGAAGCTTTCTGATTAAACTGCTGATGGTTCTTAAGTTCTGAACATAATGCTAATTTTCACTGAGCCTGACTGAATAAATCATGCTGTGTGTTACTATTTGCCTAATTCCTCTTTTTCCATTTGTTTGCCATTAGGCTGCTACAGTTGAACTGCTAGCATCGTTAGTTCCAAGCTGCCCCTATGGTTGTGAAGCCTCCAACCCCCAGAACCGGATATCCTGTGAAGCGAACTAACCCACTGTGTCCTTTGTCACTACATTTTGTTGGTTTCCTGTGTCACTGTTCATCTTTCACTGTAAGACCGAATGAACTTTATTGCTTGGATTGCATTTGTCTGCATCAATGTTATTCACATTTATCTGCTGCTATTTTAGAGGGCACTTTAAAAGCGTTAAGCCTAAATGCAAAATGTTTAAAAGTCTTTGAACATTCCTCAGAGACTCTTGAACGGACTCTTAAAAACTCCTTACCCCTTTTTGTTTGATTTTATTTGCTTTAACTGATTTTCAGTATTGTTTAGAGTTTGCAAAGTGATTAGCTGCAATAAAACTAAATAAATAAAATGGTGATTATTGGCCAATAAAGGTACCACTGCATTTAACATTGGCTTTTCTGAATCAGAATTGCTTTATAAATCCCTTGAGGGAAATTATTTTCTTGCAGTGCACCCATTTACAGAAGAGAGAAAAATAAGACTGTAAGTAAAATAGAGCAAAATAAAATAAGACAGAATAAAATAAGTAAAATTATAACTGACACAGTAAAACTACAACCCTCCCTATAAACAGTGTATTACAACCCATCCCATAAACAGTGTAAAATAAGACAAGACAAGATAATATTTGTGGTTATTTTATGCAGTGAATGGAACATTACTCAGGCCAGATCCACCCTACTTTGGTTAATAATTGAATGAACAGAAACAATTTCTGTGCTTGGCACCAACCCGTTCCAGCCGGTGAACAATACCTCCTTAACGACCGACCCTTAACAATCATAGACAGGTTTCAGGTATTACAGGAGACAATCCCCCCCTTTAATGACCGACCTTCAGAATCATAGACAGGTTTCAGATATTACCGGCTAACAATGGAACCAAACGACCCACTCATCGGTTTCCATTTGAATGTTTCCAAGCAATACAAGGCCTTGTCCATATAAAGACTCAAACTCAAACCAAGTCCAGTGGATTTTTTTTTTTTACTTTTACGGAATTCTCCTGGAAATCTAAGTGGCAGTCCGCTACATTGTTCCTCAAGGAACCAACCAAACCGCAGGAGCAGGTGTGCTAGGTGGCATAAGAGGGCCTGCAAAGGCGGGCTAATGGCGAAGCTAAGAAGGAAAACCCACGAGGGGGCATTTTGGACCTGGTTTACTCTAACATCAAAGATCCATTTAGAGCAGCCCCACCTCGGTTCTTCAGATCATCTCTCTGTCATGCTAATTCCTGCAAACAAGCCCCAGCTAACCAGGGCTAAATCGACAAAGTAATCAGACTATGGAGGGAAGGGGCCATGGAGAAACTCCAAGACTGTTTTGAATGCTCTGACTGGAATATGTTCAAAGCTGGAGAAACCTATGACAGCAAAATAGATATAGATGAATATGCCATGGCCCTGCGGTGGACTGGTGACCTGTCCAGGGTGTACCCTGCCTCTTCGGCCATTGACAGCTGGAGATAGGAGATAGGCACCAGCATCCCTCGCGACCCCAATTGGGACAAGCGTGTCAGATAATGGATGGATGGATGGATGGATGGATGGATGGATGGATGGATGGATGGATGGATGGATGGATGGATGGATGGATGGACGGACGGACGGACGGACGGACGGACGGACGGATGGATGGATGGATGGATGGAATCAATGGATGGATGGATGGATGAATGAATATATCATGACTGAGTCAGTCTGCATCAACAATTGTACTGAAGACGCCAGCATCATAAAGAACATCACCACCTGAACAAATCATGGATGAATGGGAAGGTTTGGAAATCGCTAAAAGCACTTAAACTCAGCTTTCAAGGCTGGTGATAGAGAGGCACTGAGGACAGCACCTGCCAACTTAAACGGTACCATCAGATCAGCGAAGCAGAACCAAAGCCAGAAAATTCAGGATCTTTACCAGCACCAGGAGGATGTGGCAAGGCATACGTGCCATCACAGACTACACCCTGTAGATGCAGCAAATGCTGACTTCCTAAATGAACCAATTAGCACACCAGCAGTGAAAGCTGTTCCACACCAGGGGGAGGAGAAACTTAACCTTGACATAGTTGAAGTCAGAAAAACTCTGAGGAGAGTCTACCCAAGAAAGGCCCCGATGAATGCGGGTGTACAAGCGGTGTGCAGATCAGCTGGCTGGTGTCCTCACAGACATCTTTAAAACCTTGCTGGACCAGTCCATAGTGCCAGCATGCTTTTAGTCTGTCACCATCATTCTGGTCCCAAAAAAGCCTAAGATCACCTCACTAAATGATTACCGGCCTGTCGCACTGACTCCCATAATGATGACGTGTTTAGAAAGGCTGGTTAAAGAACACATCTTCTGCAGTATCGACCCATTCCAGTTCGCCTACCGATGAAACCACTGCACTGAAGACGCCATCTCCTGTGCTCTTCACCTGAGAAGAGAAGCACACCCATGTGCAGATGCTGTTCCTGGACTTTAGTTTAGCTTTCAACACCATCATCCCACAGCATCTGATAGTATAACTGGAACAGCTGGCTTTCAATACACACCTCTGCAATCGGCTGAGTTTTCAGAAAGAGTTTGGTTTTCAGAAGCAGCAAGCTGAGGGCACACCATTTGGTAATTGAGGACCCCTTGGTGTTGGTGACCCCTGGTGTAGAGCATTCAGTCTGTATTACTGTAATTGTGTTACAACTAAGCAAAAAAAAAAAATATCAGTGTTTAGATGTGCAAATTTGGTACAGATGCATCATGAAAACCCCTCCAGTAGTTATTGCTGCAAAAATGATTTTGCAAATAAAATACTATATATGTATTTCTTTGTTGTTGTTTTTTAATCCATGCGGTGCAAATATTTTTGATGACCTGCAACAGTTCAATAAGTGACACTCTAGCTACAAAGCTTTTGAGAAAATGTTCTATTTAGTTTCTGACGTGCGTAGGACACCTAACACCTAACCTAAGGACGCCTTTCAACAAGCTTATCTTCAAGAGGCAGTCGTTTTTCCTGTGCATGTTTCCTCTCACAGAAACTGTTGCTTCCTATTCTGTCATTGTTTCCAGTTTAATTTTAAGTTTTGCACTTCACTTCAGAATAGTATTTTAAACTTTAGCCTAACAGTATACTATACTGTAGAAAATATATAAACATAAATGTATTAAACTATTGTGAAGAAAAAGATAAACCAAAGAAAATAATAGTTTTTTTTTTTTTTACTTCGGCTTAAAAAATCAACTCTTTCTCAGATGAGTCACCTTGGGTGGAACAAACAGCAGAACAGAAACCAAGAATATAGCTAGATCATTATTGCTGCAGAATCCACATGTATGCTACAGTTCTGTGCATGTTGAGGGGGTGTTTCTCGGACGAACACTCCCACGGGGAAACAGCCAAACACACAAAGAGCAGGGAACTAACAAACAGAAAGCAGTGACATTCCCTTTTGAGAAGAGAGCACTGTTTGTTCTACCGCTAAGCAAAAACATGAGAAAACTTTGGATTCTCCTTCTTCTTTTTGCTCTGTTTATACATGGGACGCTTCAAAAAAATGGTAAGAAATACATTTTTGTTTTAAATTCATTATAAAGTAGTTTGATTGTGAGGGAAAATATTACTGAATGACACTACCAATATAAGATGCATGTTGCAGATAGACTTTCACGTTAAGAAACTACTTAAAGATATTAACGAATTTACCAGCTTTATATAAAAAAAAAAAAAAAAAGAAACAGGAGTTCAGAGTAAAGATTTTAAGTTAACTCTTCGTTTAGACAATTATTTTATAGTTTCTGGCATTTTCTGTCCTCTTACCTATTTTTTCTGAGAGTAACACCAAATGTAAATGGATCAACCTTTAGTAAACTTCTGTTGTTCTCAATAACTCGATCTGTCTCTATTTATACAGCACTTCTCCTTTAAGGGCAACATAAAGTACTTCAGGTGAAATAAAAAGGAAAGTATGACAAAGGAAAACAGACAACGACTTATGAGAAAGACAAGCCTAAGCATGAAAATAAATATTTTCTGGAATGTGTAATAGAAAAGAATGATGTTCGTGTCATGAAGAGGCTACAACTCCTAAGAAGCTTGGACTCTAAAGTTGTCATAGGACTGATAAAACATAAATCAAGAAGTATAAATAGATACAAAATCTATGTATTTAATTCAAATAGCTGGTATGGAAATAACTACAATAAAAAAAATTATTCAGTACATCCATTTATTTGAATCAATAAAAAGTGAACATCAAAGTTACATTTAATTTCTATTATAGTTAAATGAAATTACCTTTAAAAATCATTTTAATTTCTAATAATCATCTAAACACTTAGGCTAAAAGGTTTGCATTGAAAAACAACAGCAGCCTCTAGAGACGATATCAGCCATCTGCAATCTTATAAGTTATTTTTGTGTTTATTTTTTGAAGTTTTAAAGCAAATACATGTTAGATAAAGCAAAAATGATTATTGAATGTCTGAACAGAAACTCGTTTTGCTTGCAGGGAGAAAGACATCAAAAGCCAAGCAAAACAAAACCAAGAGAGATTTCCCCATGCCCAGAGTCTTTAAAGGAGTCCCTCTGACAAAGTCTCCCCTCCAAGGGACACAAGCTCCTAATTCAACTATCTCTCCAGCTCTGGGGTCCATCAACGAAATTGCTGTAAGGTACCTCAAAGGGCCCCTGAGCACCAGAGCTTTCCCCATCATTTATTTGGGGCTGGTAATCGTCGGCATCCCAGCCAACCTCACCATCCTGTGTTTACTCCTGACCAAAGTCAGAAAAGTGTCGTCGGCCATCCTCTACTGCAGCCTGGCTGTCTCTGATCTATTCCTCCTCATCTCCCTCCTTTTCAAGTCTCACTACCATCTCCTTGGAAACCACTGGGTGCTCGGAGAGGCTGCCTGTCGAGCCGTTACGGCCTGTTTCTACGGTAACCTCTACTGCTCGGCCCTGACGTTGGCCTGCATTGCCGTCAAGCGCTACATGGCCGTGGTGCACCCGTTCATATACAAAACACTACCAAAGCTGAAGAGTACGGCCTTGGTCGTCCTGGCCGTGTGGGGGGTGTTTGTTGCAGCGATCATCCCTGAGCTCTTGGTCCAGCAGACCTTTTGGCTTCCCCAGCTGAACCGCACCTCCTGCCATGATGTGTTGCCTCTGGATTTCAACTCTCATGCAGTCCTGCTGTTTTCCAACCTGATTCTGACGGTTCTGTGCCTTCTGCTGCCGATGGTGGTCACCTTCGTGTGCTTCATCAAAATCTTCAGAGCTCTTAACCAGTCACACTATGACTGGGCCATGTACATCAAATCCAGTTCGCTGGTGTTTACTATCTTTCTAGTGTGTTTCCTTCCTGTCGGGGTTCTGCACTTCCTACATTATATGTGTCTGTTTTTTAATTTAACAGACAGTCTCTACATATACTTTAACACAGCAGTGTGCCTCTGCTGCATCCATGCTTGTCTGGACCCCTTCTTCTTTATCCTCATGTCCAAATCTACTGGCAGTAAAATGTACTTCCTAAGTTTTAAAGGTAAAAGCTTCAGCATATCGATTTAAAAAAAGACTCTGTGTTTAACAAAACTAAGAAACTGTGAAACTCTCTTTTGTGGCTGGTACCCAAAGAGGAAGTACTGTGGTGCAGTTTGAAGCACTGGTCTTGAACTTTACTGCTTTAAATATGGCACTTTTTTCTATAAATAAATGTTTGCAACAGATTGACGTAATGGAAAGAAGCTGGAAATAAACATGTACATACCCTGATCTTCTTTAACTTAACTGATTTGAAGTTAGAATTACTAAATAAAGTGACTGAACCCAGAAGCAACATTAAAAGATAATTATTTAATAAATAATAAAAAGTTACCAGAGCAAATTGTTACCCAAATAAAAGTAAATATGACTTAAGCCAAATTTTACTTTCAGTAAAAGTCACTTAGTTACTTTAATGTAACCAATAAGAAATCCTTCTGGTCCATTTCATAAAAGAAAAGATGAGATACAGGCCTTAAGCTGTTAATCAATAATCAACAGCTGCAAAAAATACAAGGAGAAATAAAAATCCTGGGAACAAAATCACCACCTTTGAACCAACGATTGTATAATACGTTAAAATAAATTACCTGTACTTGTATAGCACTTTATGTTGCTTCTCTGTTTCTAAGTTATTCAATTACCCATTTAAACTTTATAGACGTTCAAATGCTGACATATGTTAAGTTGTGTTTTAGATTTTAATTTCAGTTACATTGCTCATAAATGGCAAATTTGTGCCTGACATTTATGTAGATAACAAAACAAAAAAATAGACTGTGGATCATCCTGAGAAGGTCTGGCTCCCAAAGGTCCAGCTCCTCCACTGGGTGCACAATCTGCCCCCTACCAAGCCAGCTGCCTAGAAACTTCCGTATTTGGTAAAGAGATACGCAGCCCTGATGTTTTTTTTTAAGTAAAGCTGGCATGCTAAACACATAAAATAAAAGCTGCAGAGTGTAAGCTAGCTTAGTTGGTCAATAGATTGTCAGATTAGATTTGTCAACACTTATGGCAGAAGATATTTTTTCTATATTTTTGAAATATAAAAGGTCATTAATATAAGTGCATAAAATATGATTTTGAAATAATGCATTTGAAGGAGTTAATACATTCTAACCTTTTTTTTGTTTTTGTTTTTTGCTGTCCCATGTCATGTGGCTGCAGTTTCAGATTATTAGAAAACACTTCAAATTTAAAATGCTGGGTTGCAGACAGTGGTCATTTGACTAGATCATTTTTTTCTATTTTACCACTTAGGTCTAAAGTTTCTACTGCTGCCTTGTTTGTCATTAACTTCTATTGTACCTACATTACTTGCGTCTAAGCCATATGAAGAACTAGTACAATCCACTCATTTTGTTTTTGCTTCACTTGTTTCTTTTGCATTTTTATTTTTGTGAAGCAGTCATTCTATCTTAATGTGAAAGATTATTTTCTTTTGAACCTTACAAAACCTGTTGCCTATTGATTATATTTTAATAAATGGTAAGTTTTGACTTTTCAAAGCTTTGTGGTTTGCTTTAGAATTTGCTGCAAATGAAAGTTAATAAAGGGACACAGCAGACTTTGTGACCCAAAGAGTTGACGCATATGAGTTTTTTAAATTTATTCCTCAGGTCGATATATAGCGCTTGACAATATCACTGGTAGAAGTAATACTCCCTACATGTAATAGTGCCTTTGTAAGTTGGGAGAAGACGCACCGTTGCTGGCAAAGTCATGTGACCTGGAAGAGCGTAACGCTTTACAGCCACAGGCTCTTATATCGTCATGGAGCTAAGGGTTTTCCTCTACTATTTTTCAAACTGCTTGACTACTGGTCATGGCTGAGGCAAGGAAAAAGTTTAAACTTTTCAAGGAGGCTAAAAAGAAAAAATGTGTAAGGGATTGTGAGCAAGGACTAAAAAGAGTCGATCTTGGAAAGAAGTTTGTTCATTGGCGCAGGCTGAAAGAAGAAGCTGGATGTAAAACTAATTCTCTTTTCTCAACTTTATTATTAGACTGGTAAGTTAAAACTTACTATACAGTCATATATATTCATTATTTTCCTCAGTTGGCAAAAAGAGCTCCTTTGTCAGCAGTTTTGAGTGGTGCTCTAAGGACAATGCTTTGTCAAAGATAACACCTATGCTCCTAGGGCTTAGTTTAGCAGACAAACTCAAGTCGTCCAGATACTGGTCAATACCTGTGGTAGCATCATCAGGGGCAATCACCAGCACCCTTTGTTCGATCTAAGTTTAGTTGCCGGGAATTTGCACCAAGTCATTGTTTAACTTGCGCAAGACATTTCAGCAGAGGGCTTAACTTCTGTACCTCTGAGCGTTGTATCGTCGTCTGGCCGGCCTGCCCTGGCGGCACTCTCCAGAGAGCAGCAGCATTTGTCACACCATCCGAGCTGAACCTGGACACCTAGTGGAGTCCCCATTCAAAAACACTGGAGGCTGGCTGGCTGATCGTTGAGTTTTACGACAGTGCCGTGGTGCTTGTGGCCACAAGGGGCGCTAGATGTTATAATTAGAGGTATTGTGCCCTTAGGGGCCAAAAGTTACACCCTGGGCCTTTAAGTTTCTGAGTCAAATGAGGGACATTAGCCAACCACAGACAGCCGAAGCTTAATGCAGCAACAGTCGCATAGAGGAGCTCTTCAGAGAATTTATGCTTTGGTTCAGAGCTCTTGAGATGAGAAGAAAAAACTAAAATATCGATACACTAAAGGTTTTTCACTTTCTATCACATTACATCCAATGGCTAGATACAAATTTTATTTAGATTTTATGGGATTGATCAACACAAAATTATGCATAGCTATAGCTATAGCTATGAAACCTTTTGCAACCTATATTTAAAAAGTTTTGTGTTTACCTTGCAACTGTCATAAGAATTGCTCCCCACAGTTTCAAACGTTGCCTTTAAGCAAGAGTTGAATGTGGTTAACATGGTTTGATCTGAGCCCTGAATGTCAGACTCATTTTCAGAGTTCAACATCAAGTCATTAGACAGGCCTCCTGGAGCTGTATAATAGAAACTATCAATTTTATCATTTAAAGCCACTGTGTGTAACTTTCGACCCAAATATTAGCTTCATATGAAATATATTAAGAGAGCTAACAAAGCTAAAAGTTGCTCTAAGTCAGCAAACCAGCTGTGATACTGACATGATCAGACATGTTTTGAGATCTCTGATAGAATTCAATCTAAAGGGATGAATGTGGCCTTGTCTTTCCAGGTAATTCCAGGTGTTTTTAATGTACTGCTCCAAAATGTTATTTTGTGGATTACAGAAACTTTACTGAAAACCTGAAATTCAATGTCTTTGAAAATTATAAGATGACATAGAACAACATTATCTGGGACCTTTGCATGGATTACTGGCATGGAGGTTGTAGCATTGCTATAAAAGCTAAGGTTAGATTCCCAGTGGGGCTCAGCACTAGGAAGCCTAGGCAGAAGTTCAACTGAATAAATTAGATCACTTTCCCTAATGCAATCAGAGGCTCGTCCATCTGTGAAGCAGCCAACCAGCATTCAACTGCACCTCCTCGTAATCCAATCAGCATCCAGAATGTAGCTTAAAAGAGCTTCAAATTAACAGTTCAACCTGCTACCCAACAAGCATCTGAGAGGAATGGCATGTCAGACCTTGATTCTTATCACCCCGCTTCAACCCTCCTCCATTCCCACATCTCAATATGGCTCCTTCTCCATGCTGGTGCCTTGCCCCTATTGAAGTAATTCCTTGGAATCATACTGTTTTCACAAGGCATCGCCAGCCGATTTGGCAGAGGCCCAACATGTTGAGCCTGGCTCTGCCGGAAATTCCTTCCCAAGGGGAGTTTTTTCTCTCCACTGTCACTCTGTCCTTGTTCATCATAGAGGTTCATATGAACATGTGCCTTGTTCCTTCCATCTCTGTTCCACTACCATTTTCAGGCCAAGGGGGGCTTCATCCCTGTTCTCTTTCAGCAGCTCATGTATATAATCAAATTACATTAAATTTTTAATGTACCCACCGAGGCCTGAGCACCAGAGTCTTAAAATATAGTTTCAATAAAACTATTTTAATTACTATCCTTCTTTTGTTAATTTTTCAGGTTGAAATACAATTAACACTAAACCAGATTATGGTATATTCTAAGTGTTGGCAGGATACAAAAACCTGGTCAAAATCAGCAACTCCATAAAGATTATTAACTACTGTGCAAAAACGATCTAGAGGTAAGTCAAAGTTTCGTAAATTAAGTGTATTAACCCTTAATTTGAGTATCTAAATTAGATGATTTGCCAATGGAATGAGTATTTTTACTCTTAAAGTAAGATAATTTCATAAAATGCACTTGAAATAGGACAATGCAATTGTTTTCTCTTATTTTAAATCTCGTTTCATTGGCAAAGTGTCTCACTTACCTCCTCAATTCAATAACAAAAACACCTGTGAAAGGGCCGTGAAGTACTTCAGAGTTTTATTGGACCAACACCAGCAGCAGCTGTGGCACCTTAAGTATCTCTGCCTGTGGAAACTTCACAGTAGACTTCAAGAAATGTGTCTCTGCCTCTCCACTCTTCTTCAGCCTCTAGAGCCAAATAAGATTTACACTTTCCTTCCATCTCAGAAGGGGAGTTTGAGACACTGATGAACATTTCCATTCTGTTTCCCCATTAGCCAAAGTAAGATGCTTCTAATGTTGTTTCTGATCAAGGATAGATACTTTCTGCTTATAGTGTCTCTTAATTCAAACTCCTTCTCAGTCTGGTGAAGCTTCTTGAAGGGATTTTGCGTGGTGACTTTTCAAGGCAGCTGCTGCTCCATTGCTGGTGCACCTATTTCTACCACACCCTTTTTCTTACACTCAACTTTCTGCAAATATGTTTCGATACAGCCCTCTTTTAACAAACCTTATTATCTAACAATAAACTTCTGTGGCTTATCCTCCCAGTGAAGTGTGTCAATGATGTCTTCTTGACATGTGTCCAGTCTTTCCCATGATGGTGTAGCCTATTGTCTTAGACTGAGAGACCTTCTAGAGCATGGGTATCGAATTCCACTCCTCAAGGGCTGGTTTCCTGTGTCTTACAGATGTGTCTCTGCTTGACTGCATACTCAAGAGGTAATTTAGCTATTTGACTCAGGTGTGTTGGACCAGATACGCTTCTAAATGTCAAAGGACAATAAATGGCCTGCAGGTGGTTCCACTGACCCCTAACCCCATGAATAGAGCAATTGTGTACCACTTAAAGTTGTAGGGAAATGGTCGTTCCAACCGTTGCATTTCTGAATTGTCCCGAGTGGTCCATGACTTTACGCGAGCGAATAAAGTGAATGTGATTGGTCGCTTATCAAGAGGGTGGGATTGTTGTGGCGGAAGGTTCGCAAGCAAGTTTGATTGTGGCCGGTTTATTGGAAGCATCTTGCTAACCAGTTAGCAACTTAGTGCTAGTAGGTTCCCAAGGGGAAATTCCATTGGAACCAAGTAGCACTAAATTGGTGACTTAGAAACGACACTGTCAAGGAACGCTATGGACAGAAGAAACATGCAAGAGATTTTTGTGTCAGAGGTCGTGGATGAGTCTCCTCTGCCATACATTTTTAGATTTAGAGGAGGAAAGCGGGGACGAAGATGTTGTGGAAGAGAACGCCAGGGCGGCAGAAGCTTGGTTTGGTGTAGAAGGCTTACAGCCGTACATGTTTGAGCCCTTGCCTGGCAACGCTGCCAGTTCTGTTAGACACCAACGTCCATCCCCGTGAAAACTGGGACGGAACTCAATGGTAAACTATTCTTATTTCAACTGTTGCCTATATTAGCCGCGACATATGAATCAAGATGCTATGACTGAGAAAATTGGATTGACAGATGACCGTTGATATATGATAGGCCGAAGTTGGGTTTATAGGCTGACGTATAACTAACTGGCCTGCATAAGATAACCAAAAAAAAAAAATGTTAAGATAGGATTGCTTTTTAGATAGAAATGTTCTAAATTTTGGGACAATATCGTCTGATAAAGAGTACATTTATATACATGTTTAAGCCAGAATGATTTGACTTTTAAATATGACTTCCCTATGACTTTAAAGAGAACTGCTGAAATATTTTCACAACTATAATTTTAATATCTCAGAAACCCCAATGTTAGAATGCAATAATCTAATGTAATACCGTGGAAGTCTGTCTGGTTGATTGAGTTATAGTTTCAAAGTAAACATGTGAATTATGAGAAAAAGTATTTTTAATAAACTAACCGTATTCTTCTGGATTAGCTGTGATCCAGTTTAGTACAGACTCCAAAAAAAGACTGCAGCACAGTTCAAAGACATTATTTTGTGCAACAGATTTTTAATGCCGGTCTCCATGGTAGTTTGGCACTCTAGAAAAAGAATGAACATCTGCCTCCATCTACCCCTTTTCTGACCAATCAGTGGACAAGGGAGGGAACGTCTCTTATGTAAGTGGAAACAAAAGCACTGCTTTCCCAAAGGTGGGAAATATGTGCTTTCACAT